TGTGTGTGTGTGTGTGTGTGTGTGTGTGTGTGTGTGTGTGTGTGTGTGTGTGTGTTTGTTTGTTTGTTTTTATAGAAAGACGGCAGCTCCGATCATGCTTTAAGCCCAAAACCCAGCCTGAAGATGGCGAGTGAGACCTCGCCGAAACATTGCCAAGACAATCTCAACCTTACACGGGAAAAGACCCAAATACAACTAGACCAGAATGCCTACATCTGTGAAAATCTACAAAAACAAACAAACAAACAAACACACACACACACACACACACACACACACACACACACACACACACACACACACGTTCTTATGGGTTTCAAAAATTTTGGGACTGGAAGACAATTTAGAATTTTGAGTGCGTGTTGGTGAACATCCTTACAGAATTACTATGAGAAAGAGACCGTCATCATCATAATTTGTTCTATTGTCTACCCAAGATGGTCCCTGGCATTTTTTGTCCCTTTTCTTAAAAGCTTGGACTTTAGTTACCTGCCTCTTATTTTCAAAGAAAGCATTTGAAGGCTGTCTAGTAATTAATGTGAATTACCGAGCTCTTTGAATCTTTCCTTAATATGTTGCAGAACAACAACCAAATTATAAAATGGCAGCTACCAACCAAGGCTGAGTCTTTTTTTAATTCATCACTTTTGTCACCTGAGCTCCAGATGTGGTAGCTTTTATTTTGGAAATTTAATCAATATGTTTTGAGTAACTGTGAATAAAAAGGCATAGCAAAGTAATTTAGAACAAAGATTTCAGCCCAGTGATTGTTCCTTCTTCTGGTGAAGCCTGTAAAAAATCTAATTGTATGTGACTGTTAGATACATGATTAAAACTAATGGCAACATGATTTTACTATTCATTTCTATTAGGTTGTTTTCACTCAAAATTTACAGTGAAATTAAATTATTACAGGGATTTATGAGCAACATAATTTCACTCAAGTTACCTTTTAATAATTCAAATTGTTTCCATCACATTTAGATTTAAGGTGTTCTGTGTGATACGTAAATGACTATTTTTTCTGAAAGCCTGAACAGTTATTTCTGTATTCTTTTGGTTTGAAATTGATTTTTCTTGATCGTGTAATTTTTTCATTACTTAAGTAATTCTCTTGTAGATTATAATCTTCTAAAACATGTCTGACCAGATCGGAAGAATGGATTAGGTACATTTTGCTGTGTATTTTTTTTTTTTAGTCTTTCTAGTTTTATACTATTCCTCAAGAATAAGGAAGAAAAGGATGTTTTTCATATATTTATTCAGATTCTGATGCATTTATTGGCTTACAGAAAATCCTTTTTTTAGGATTGAGTGTATATCAATTAATGGTGAGTTGGGAGCTGTGCATTAAAAATAAAAGTGAACAAAATGTTTTCTTATTATAAACTATTATTAAGAGTTCACAAACTTTTAAGCACTTCTATGTACACCAGGCTTAAGGTTAACATTCTCTTTGAATTCATATCCTTTTCTGAATCACGATATTTTTAGCATTTTCATGAACTTTGCATTGAATATATTAAAATAAGCACGCTAACAATAATTGAATAAATGTTTACTGAATTGCAAATTATGCATTCATGTGCTGTGAGTTAAACATTAATATATTCTCCTGCCATAGAAAGAAAAGTTTAAAAGTTTAAAGAAATATTTTAGGATAATTATATGTGCTTTATGAGAAACTAAGACTCATTATATTCAGTCAGGTTTACTCTGGTTTGAAACTAATTTGTGCATATTTTAATGGCTTGGTTGATGAAGTAATTATTGAATAGTCTGCATGTTTATGATTAAGAAATTCTGAGGACAGTCAATATCATTTGAATAGAAATCAATCACATAATGGAACTTTTTATTCTTTCCTAAAGTTGTATCCCTGAGTCTTCATCAAACTTGCTTGTGGAAATTTCCTGAATTTCTAAAAATGGCTTTCTAAAACAGTTATGGGACAGGAAAAAGAATCAATTCCTGAGTTCTGTTGAATAAACAAATTCAGCCATTGGGCATAGAAGCTTGAATTTTACTGTTAGCTATGCTTAGCCCGAACTCAATAAAATCAATCTGGCTTAAATTTATCCCAGTAACCAATAGAATAGGTTACTCTAAGTCTATTTTTTCATTGCATATATATAAATAAAACAATTTGAAACAAAAATAAGCAAAATAAAAAAAAACAGAGATCAATGTTTTTAAAGTAATAGAAACTGTCAGTTGGTCTTACCTGAACTGCATGTTTCAAGGGTGAGTGGGAGCAGTCACTGTATGGGTATTCTCACGGCCCAATTGCCTGGAGGCTGAGGTAAATCTGAGGACACTCCCTCTGTTCCTCCTGGTGACTCCCCAGATTAACCGATGATTCGGAGAAAGGACCTGGAAGAGAAGAGAAGAACAAAACCAGCGGCAGCTTCCCTTCCTGAACATGAATGGTCTGTGGTTATCTACTCAGGCCTGGTGCTGGCGCCTAACGGGCGGGAAGTGACTGCTCCCACACCCACCCTTGAAACATGCAGTTCAGGTAAGACCAACTGGCAGTTTCCAAGGTGGGGCATGGGAGGAGTCACTGTATGGAACATACCCAAGCTAGATGTCCATGGGAGGGATTATTGGGTCTGAGTTTCCCGAGTGTCCAGGACACCCTGAAGAACCCACCTCCCGAAACTGTACTTTTGTTGTCTGGGGACAATAGTATACTAGGTTTCCATATGTATTCATTGTAAGCAGTGATATGAAGTTTGCTAATGCAAATTTGCTTGTCTATTAAGTAAAATACAGCATTCTTAGTAAGGAGCATCTTCTTCTAACTACAGGGACATTTTCATTTCTATTACCTTTATGTTTGTGTAAGGCTCCTTGCAAGCTTTAATTGAATTAATTCACAAATGATATAAGGGCAGGGAATACTGCTAAGCAAGTTCATTTATAAAATTAAAACATAACATAGTCTTCTTTATGTTTAATTAAAGTTACAAAGGTCAGTTGGGTATAAATCTCTTCATTTCAAGAGAAATCGATAGGTTTGTGCCCTTAATCCCAATTATCAGACTTGATCCATATTTTTAAATTAATGACATTTGTAATATAGACAGAAGGATAGACATGAGTATAGGAGGATAAAAGCAACCATTTCCTGCACCAGCCAAGAAAGCTAGACATCATTAAGGTGTTTTTTTTCAAAAGGCAACTGGACTTTCTTAGTTTTTTCCTTTGAAAACATTTTGCTTTTCATCCAAGACTTCTTCTGAACTGAACTGAAGAAGCTTCTTGTATGAGAAGCGAAACATTATCAAAGGAAATGTTTCAAAGAAAAAAGAAAAAGCAAGTCCAGTTGCAGTTTTGGAAAAAGCACCTTTGGGACAACCCCAATCTGGAGTCTCCATAGACAAGGAAGCTTCTCCACTTCTTTATTTTAGAATAAATCACACATAGTCATTTATTTGCTATCTTGGAATTTTCTTTTTCGGTTGCTTTATCCTTTAAAGTTAAAGGTATGATGGAATGTGAGTAACATTAATATCACTTGCACTTTACAGCACTCTCTGGGCAATTCATAATGTAGAAGCATTATTTGCATAGTAAGCGAGTCAGGCCTGATTTTACAATCTTTTCACCATGGTTCTGAAGTGAATCACTGTGGTCATTAAGTGAACCCTTGGTCTTTAAGCAAATCCAGCTCCCCTCATTGATTTTGCTTGAAGTAGGCTGGCTGGAAAGATCAGAAATGGCCCTTAGCTCACCCCAGGACGCTGAAACCATCCTCAGTTGATGTCAGTTGTCAAGGGTTCAAATTTTGATCATGTGGCTGCAGGGAGGCTACACTGGTTATAAGTGCCAGGACTGGACATAAGTCAATATTTTCAGCACCATCATAATTTCAAACAGTCACTAAATGGTTGTAAATCAAGGACTGTCTGTATTGTCATTAATGGTGTTATTCTTTAAACCTAATCCTCATGGGTTATTTCTGAAATTGTATGAACATCATATTTTGATTCCACCTAGGATTTTTTTTCCCTTGCTTTTATGTTTTTAAATTTAGTCTATTAAAATGCCTGCCTTGCCTCCAGATTTCAAGTCAGTTTTGCATGTTCTTTCACGCTATATTTATTTATTCCATCTCTGTTTTGTAAAGTGGATATTTTTGTATTATAAGTTTGATAAAGTGAATGAAAAGAGCGGACTGCTGTTCTGCAGATTGCCTGCAGTGTGAATTTACAAATTATGCTTGTTTTGTTTTTTGGAAAGGCACTCAGACGTGAACTGAAGGAAAAAGAGCAAGTGATTTTAACTGCTGTAGACCAAGCACGAATGTTTCTTGCCGACCAACCAATTGAAGGGCCGGAAGAGCCAAGAAAAAACTTACACTCAAAGTCAGGTCAGTTTTTTTGGATTGCTGAAATTGAAAAAAGTCTCTCTCGTTAAAATAATGTGTGAGCATAATGGCTTTGATATTCTTTCTTCTTCAAAGAATGTTTCATTAATATTATATGCATTGATATCATAAATGAGCACGGACATATTATTGAGAATTAGTGTGCAAGCACCATTCAAATAAAATTTAAGCTGCAGGAAGCAGAACTGAGTAGTTTGAGAGCACAGTTGAAATTATAGTTATCCAAAGGACTGGACAATTGAAATGTGACTCTGCTTCTTGTTTTTGTTAGAAGCTGCCAAATTTGATATATTGAGACATGCTATCTAGCATTTCTTTCTAGCAGTCTAGACATCTCAGTAGAGATAAGTTTAATTAAAGGATATAAAACCTTATCAATCTTAATGGTTAAGATGAACTGTGGTGTAACATTGTTGGAGAAATGTGAAAAATAAGGAGGAATTTAAGGATGCAAACAAATACCTGGAATTATCAATTACTTGGACTATGAATTTTTCTATGCGCTGTTAACATATTGGATTCCTTTGGGACCCCTAGCAAATTTAGGGAAAACAGCATATTTGGATAATGAGAGCATATTATAAACACCTTCATTAAATAGCTGACATGATGGGCCAGCCTAATCACAAACTGGTCAGCATATACATTACTGTATGGAATTGTATAGTATAATAAGGTAATTCTATCTTTAAAAAAAAACACTGTTCTTGGTTAAGTATTTCCTATAATTAAAACATAGATTCTATGCATAGCTATACCTAATTTTTTGATATGGTACCAATCCATGTTTTAGGTTAGTCTAAGAGTAGTTTCAAGTGTGAGTTTAAATCTCTATCAAATTTGTTTTTAAGGTGGGGAGTTATTCTGGACATTGCAGCATGTTTCCACAAATTGGTTAGGTATTTTTTCATAGAAGGGATCCGACAATCTTACCAGAAGACATATATCAATGATGGCTAAACTTTTGGTTCTCACGTGCACGCGCTAGTGAGCAGGCACACATGCCCACTCCCTTCACATGCATGCACTTACCTGGCATCCAAAACAGGCCACTTGGAGACTCCTAAGATCAAAAACAGAGCTGTGTGACCCCTGCAAATGCACATGTGTCCCTTCATGCATGCACTCATGCGTGCGCATCTTCCGCATGCATGGGAGGGACCCAAAAATCAGCTGACTGGCAGGAGGCACGTGCATAAGTGTAGTGGAGCTGAGCTGGGTGACGGCTCATGTTCCCCTCAGAGAAGGCTCTGTGTGCCACCATGTGGCTGTCAGCTCCTCTCCATTAATTAATTAGGAAAGAAAGACCACGAGACTCCATGTGTGGAAATCAAGTGTACTTTTACTAATTAAAAATGATTAAAGGCGT